AAATGGAAGAAAAAAAAAGAAGAAAAGAAAAAAAGAAAAAGGGAAGCAAAAAAACGATTCCGTTCGCGAATCCATCCGAGCTTTACGAATTTACCCTATCTATCCGCACTACTCGAATTCCCGTTTAAAAACAACATTGCAATTTCGCGTTAACAATTTAAACGACGACACCGTAGAATATCGGAACGTCGGTTCTAACGCGCTTTTTAAATTAGAAAAATTTTTAAAAAAGCGACACTTCTTTTTTCCTTCTTTTAACAATTCTTTCTTTTTTTTTTTTTTTTTTTTTTCTATATTATTAATTTTTTCCCCTTTTTATTTCTATTTATTTATTTGTTTATTTATTTATATATACATATATATATATATATTTTTTTTTTGTCCATACACAAGCAGATACGAACGAGGGGAATAAAAGTTTTAAGGGTTGTTAGAGAGAAGTTTATTTAACGGGAGGCAATATCTTTTCGGGAATGTATGCATCTGGCTCTCTCTACCTATATAACCCGTGTAACGTCATAGATAATAAAGTGTCAAGGGTAAAAGGAAAAAGGGAGGGGGGGAGGGAAGGGGCGGGGAGGAAAAAAGAGAAAAGAAAAGACAAAAAATGAAAAAAAAAAGAGAAAAAAGATGGAGAAATGAGTTCGAACTCGATGGAGATCCCATTCGTCGAGCGGCCAGGATATGCTAATGTTCCCGAAGGTTTTATGGAAAACCTGGAGGGCTCTTACTCTCTCTCTCTCTCTCTCTTTGTGTGTGTGTGTGTGTGTGTGTGGACGCGTATGTGTGTGTATACTCGAAAGCAAGATGGTACGTCGGTACGTCGTCCTGGAAAAAAGAAAAAAAAAAAAAAAAAAAAAAAAAAAAAAAATAAGAAAAAAAAGAAAAATTGAAAATGAGCATAAAAAGGTATTACAAGGTACGAAGGTAGTAAGATGGGAGGAACGAATAGGATGAAACGATGGTAGGAAAAGACGTACGGCAGATTGCCGCGGAAGATTCTTCTTCGGCAAAGGAGAGCAATTCATTTTCCTATGCTATATCAATTTCTTGCTTCGTCTCCTTTCTCTTTCCTCTGACCCTTCCTACTCATCTCCCTTGCCCCCACCACAACACCCTCCTACCCTTTAACTCACCCCATTCGACGAATCCTCCCCGCGACTTGGTAGATAGGGAAGGAGGATATCTTTCTACATCGCCTACCACTGTCATCACCACCCATCGTTCCCTTAGTCCTTCCCACCTCTCTCTCTCTCTCTCTCTCTCTCTCTCTCTCTCTCTCTCTCTATCTCTATCTCTCTCTTTTTCTCTCTCGAACCATCACCCCCTATTTCTGTTCTCCTCCTGTCCTTCCCCACCCCTCTCTACCATCGCGTTCGCGATTCTTTCAGACTCGAAGCACACCGATCTATAACCAACACACCGTTTTATCCTTTAAAACCGTTAAACTCCCGTAGCCAGACATCAAGGGGAATGCGAATTAGCCCTTGGCTCTCCTCTTTACTTCGGCCGATAAAAATGACGATGAAGAGAAAAAGAAAAAGAGAGAGAGAGAGAGAGAGAGAGACCTTGCTGGTCGTTTCGTTATCATCTACATCAATCCACTCCCTTTTCTTATTTCCTCATCATCCTTCAGGAAGAAACGACGCTTGCTTTGTTAAAACTCACTCGATCGATTTTTCTTTAGGGTGTCCACCCCATCCCTCTCACGTACCCACTTTCCTCTTCTTCTTCTTCTTCTTCTTCTTCTTCTGCTTCTTCTTCTTCTTCTTCTTTTCACCATTGAAAGCTTCATCTTTTTTCTTCCTCTTTCGCATTTTAAATCGCAACGAGGAAAATAAAAAAATAAGTAATCTTTTTCTCTCTCTCTCTCTCTCTCTCTCTCTTTCTTTTCTTTTCTTCTCTTGTTTTCTCTTAGTTCTCTTCTCTTTTTTTTTTTTTTTTTTTTTTTTTTTTTTTTTTTTTTTTTTTTTAATATAATGATCATACGAAGAAGAAACGAAATGATACGGGGGGAGGGGGAATATCGTCGTTCGTATATAAAGGTGATAATGAACAATTATCTCTCGGTCGATTTTTCGAACACAATAAAAGAACGCAAAAAGGGAAGATTAAATCTCGCGCCGTCGCGAGGTCAACGACGATTAGACCATGAAATATACGAGAGAGAGAGAGAGAGAGAGAGAGAATGAGTAGTAGGCGAAAAGTTTAATCGATATTCCCTAAAATCACAGCGTGAGTTTGTTCGAAAGGAAAGATACCACCATGTAGTATAACTTGGTAAAATGAGTTAAGCTCACACGCACGATATTTAAAAGAAAAGAGAAGGGACAGAAGGGATACGACTAGGATGATGATGGTGAGTGTTAGTTGCAAAGGGTTATCGAAGGAAGGAAGGAAGGAAGGAAGGAAGGAAGGAAAGAAGGTCGGAGCATGATCGATCATGCATTATAGACTGGAAGCTGACACCCGGTGATAGATCGTGGTAATTAAATAACTCGTTGTTGCGATCGGGCAACCTCGGAGATTCGATAGTGTATATCCCGGTTAGGAAGGTGCAGAGAGAGAGAGAGAGAGAGAGAGAGAGAGAATTGAAGGGAAGATAGGGTAGGAAGAGGTTTTAGCAACATGTGCATGTCGGACCAACCTGCTGGACGGGGTGTAATTGACAAGGCAATTGATAATCGCCCTCGGCATGACACCATCTCTGAGAATTAACCGTCTACGTGGCTTTTCGATAAATTACTTGGCAAATTAGGTATATACGTTGGATCTAACTTTTTCTAACGATTGAGAAGAATGTCCGTTTACATCTTGATTGATAAGATAAGAATGAAAAAAAAAAAAAAAAAATAGGGAGAAGGTATGATACAAGGGGGAAAAAAAAAATACAAGAGGAGGAAAGAAGAAAAAAGAAAAGAAAGAGTGAAAGAGACAATGGAAGAAGAAAAAAAGAAGAAAAAAAAAAGAAAAGGAAGAGACAAAAAAAAAATAAATAAATAAGGGAAGAACAAAAAAAACAAGAGAATAAAGATTATCCTCTTTCGGATCGGACTTTTCCGGGGTAGTAGTAGAATGGTCGTAGAAAGGAAAATACAAAGTGGACGACGAGGATAGAAAGAGATAGAAGAAATGAGGGAGGAGAAAGAGGAAGAGAAGGATGACGAGTAAGAGGAGGAGGAGGAGGAGGAAGGAAGGAGGAGGTGGTGGTAGGAAAAGCCATGAACGGAGCCGATTAATAATCGCGACTGCGCTCGAAGTCGAGTCGGGTCGAGGTCGAGTCGACTCGCGGTCCAGCGGAGTTTAATTATTTCGACGTGAAATATGTATGGCGTACGGTCTGTAGAAAGCCGTGAGAGGAAGGAGGAAAGAAATAGAGAAGAAGTTAGAGAAAGAAAGAGAAGGAGAGAGAAGGAGAGAGAAAGGTCGAAGCGCGCCGCACGGCGACCGGGCAACCTTATTCGCCATTGTCGGCTCGAGAAGTAGTTAGTACGAAGGGTAGCCGTAGGAAAGAGGAGGGAGCGGAAAAGAGGAAGGGAGAGGAAAAGAGAAAGATGGATAGAGACCTCGAGAGATAGAAAAAGAGAGACAGAGAGACTGAGAGAAAGAGAAAGAGAGAGAGAGAGAGAGAGAGAGAGAGTGAGAGTGAGAGGTAGAGAGCTATAGGCGGAAGAAGGGAAGTAGAGAGGGTGTGTAGGCGGCGCGCTGCAAAAAATACTGCCTTCTGTTTAATTTCATTTTTAACTTGAGGCTATATTTAATTAAGAAATATCACGAAACCCAGAATATATACGTCGTGGCAGACGAACGGGGTTAACCTACCCCGAGGTACGGCTTCGTCGGTGCCGCAGAGAAACACAGCGCGGAAGGCGGTTGTGCAGGCAGCGCAGGCCGAGTGTAAATTAAAAAACCCACGGCCAATTTGCGCGGGACAATCTCTCGAGCTTCGAAGAGAGGAAGGAGAGAGGGAGAAAAAGAGAGAGAGAGAGAGAGAGAGAAAAAGAGGGAGGGTGGGAGAAAGAAGGAGGTAGTAGGGAGTGGGAGTAAAGAAGGCGCGACAGAAATAGAAGAGAGGGAATGAGAAAGAGACAGAAATGGGAAAAGAAAGTTCCAACTACGACTACGACTACGATTACGATGACGACGACGACGACGACGACGACGACGACGACGACTATGGTGGTGGCAACTCAACGATGATGAATGGAAAAACCGACGGGGGTGGATTTTTATGGCTGTGTTATACCCCGCCGATCTTTCTGACCCAAATGCCCCAGTCTTTTTTACAATCTCGCACAACTCCGGTGTTCTTTTTCGAACGATCCCAAGCCGCTTTTTTGATTTATATCGGCCTTTATATATAATACTTCCCTTATTCTTGTTCAGTAACTTGTGAACCCCATCCCCCCACCCGTAAGTTCTTACTTTTAATTCCTCGAGAATGTATTTGTCTTTTTTCCTTTCCTTCTTCTTCTTCTTCTTCTTCTTCTTCTTCTTCTTCTTTTGATTCATTCTTGATTTTTTTTTTTCACGATCTCATTATCGACACGATTATTCGTACGACGATCGTATAAACGATCTTTTAATTAATTAATTAATTAATTAATTAATTAATTAATTTATTTATTTATTTATTTATTTATATACACCACGGTATAATTACACGACGAAATTAAATAATAAAATAATTTTATATAGATCTCGAGAATTACGAGGATAATGAATTTTGTTTGTATGAAATTAATATTTGTTCTTTCTTTCTTTCTTTTTTCTTTCTTCTTATTTTTTTCTCTCTCCTTTATTTTGTTTCTTTTATTATTTTTTTTTTTTTCGTCCCTTCATCATCGATAATATTATTTTCACGTAGAGGTGACGGCGTCGAAAGTAACTCCCCCTCCCAAGAAAGCTTTTCTTATCCGAAGGGGTAACTTCGAACGCCGACTACGACAACGACGACGACGATGAGAAGAAGAAGAAGGTGGAGGAGGAAAAGGAGGAGGAAGAGGAGGAGGAGGAGAAGGAGAAGGAGAAGAAGGAGGATGATGGTGGTGGTGCACCTTTCCCTCGACGATAGGCGGGAGGACCAATTTTCACGGCGGCGAGATATATCCGGAGATCTCTCGTAGTACCGAAGGGTTGGCGGCAAAGATCACAAGTAATTGAATGGGGGAGAGGGGTGGAACGCTGCGGGGCCAACCCCCGTGAGTGTTCAACCAATTAATCCACTTCAATCCCTAAGGCAGTCGCGCGAACATCGAGAAAGGATATCTTTTTCCTTTCTATATTACGCTCAAGACTCAACTAAGACGTATTGAGATCGAAAGACTTACCTTTGGGATTCAAAATAATGTGGCAATGTCCTTCTTTTCTTCGTCTTTTTTTTTTTCTCTTTTTTTTTTTTTTGGTTTTTTTAATTCTTCTCATCTTCCCACCCCGTCACCCTCTCGTTCCTCTAGTTTCTTAACTCCGGTTAGTTCTTCTTTCTCTTGTTTATTTATTTATTTATTTTTCTTTTTTTTTTTTTCCTTTCGATAATAAATATACCATATCCGTCGAATGATCTTTGAGATGTATCGTACACATTGTACTTTTTTTTTTTTCTTATTCATTAACGATACGTATTAATTAATCAATTAATTTTGTTCACCCTCTCTCTCTCTCTCTCTCTCTCTCTCTCTCTCTCTCTCTCTCTCTCTCCGTCTTGCTTTCTCGTTCTTTTTGTCTTCCTTCGTTTCTTTTCCAATAGAAACCATTTCCAAATTAATCTTTAAATGAATCTCTTATTTGGTAGGATTACGCGAAATGATGATAGTGGGATACTAGAAAGAGACATTGGCCGATCATCATCGGATTTGAGAATCGTTGTTAGATTGGAAATCTGAAATGGTAGTTCGGCAAACGGAAGCAACTGGAAACGGCGTAGGTATCAAAGCGATCTCGCAACACCAATTAAGTCCCTTTCAGACCTTAGGGATAGGTCTGATAGAGGTGGAGTGGTCTGGCCAATAAAACAAGGTAAATCCGCATCTACACTAATCTTATAGGATATAGGTAGCATAAGGATGGAATGGGGTGGGTCATAGGGTGGATCCGTGAGGTTTGGGTCGTGGGGGTGGGGAGGGGTGGAAACACTTACAGATAGAGAAGAGGATTGGAAACGCAAAAGTAAAGGAGAGGATTCGTAGAGTAGAGGAAGGACGGATGTCCCTAACTCTCTATATCTCTCTCTCTCTCTCTCTCTCTCTCTCTCTCTCTCTCTCTCTCTCTCTCTTTCCTCTGCAAAAAGTAACGACTACCATATGTTCCTTAGATACGGAACCGAACAAGATTTTAACCCGATCCTCCAACAAATCCATCCCTTACATTCCCCTCTAATGATACTCAATTCCTCTTTGGATTAACCTAACCACGATCCTACTGAAATCTCTATGCCGCTATAACTACGATAAATCGTAAGATCTTTATTTCTTTTTTTTTATATATATATATAATATATATTCTTCTATCATTGTTAAATATATATATATATATTTAAAATATTCAAATACGGAGGGGTTTCGAATTATTTCGAAGGAATTATTACGAAAGAATAATTTTAGCAAAAACAACAACGAGCTAAGGTAGGTTAAAATGGACGACGAAGTTTATGAGAAAGGTGATGAGAAAGGTAAAGGGCATGGAGAGAAGGGCTACGTAGGTTATATACGTAGTATAGAGATTGTCGAATCGGGAAAGAACAAGAGAGGGCAGCATGCTAATTTATGGCACCCTGGCGCTCCATTACGAATATTTATCCGCGGCGAGTTTAATCTAAACTTGGATAGTCCTCCTCCTCGTCGTCGTAGTCGTCGTCGTCGTTGTCGTCGTCGTCGTCGTCGTCGTCGTCGTTGTCGTCTACTTCGTCGGCAGAGCCCTTAAACTCCTCCTCGAATTCTTCGCGGCTTCCTTCCAATCTTCCTTTACCGCCTTAGCTTCCAACCTCACTCCCACCCCTTTAGCCCTTTTTCCTCCCCCCTTTAGCCCCGTCGTCACGATTCTCCTTGACTTTGCCTACCCTGCTTATGGTTTGCTCTGGCAAGCAAAGTCGAGACCCGTCTTAACGACGTATTGTCTTCTGTGACTTATCAAAACAATTCGTTCAATCTGCCTCTCTACCTCTCCCCTCCTCTCTGTCTCTCTCTTTCTATCCCCTCCGTTTAACACGTCTTTCTACATATCTATTTAATCTATATCACACAGTTTCCTTTTCTTTTCTTTTTTTCGAAAAAACTCCCACTCCATCTAACGTTTGACCGCCGACCTTTTTTCTTACCCTTTTTATCAATCGATTTTATCTCCGTTCCCCGAGTGTTTCGTATATTTTCTTCTTTCATTTTTTTCTTTTCTTTTTTTGCTGTCAATCCATCGATCATGCAGGAGGTTGCATGCATCGTTTATCGAACGAAGGGAATGAAAGAAAATGAAGTTTAAAGGGTTAAATGTGAAATTAAATATACCGAAGGAAGTTTGGTTTAAACCAAAGAAGTAGCGATGAAGAGAAAAGGGTAGAAAGGGATGGTTGAGTACGATGGGAGGTTCTATCTACTTGACGTCGACTGCGTAAATAAAATATTGATTATGGCTTTATTGCAAATATGTAGACTGTGGCAGGTTATATACGAGAGGCAGGAGAGCAGGTGAAAAGCCGTAGATAGTGTAAGACGATGAAAACGAGGATGAAGATGAGGATGATGGGGCGTCCAAAGGGGAATGGGTGAAAACGTGGGAGGGGGGAAATAAGGGTTGAGGTGGGTATAGTAGTAGTAGGAGGAGGAGGAGGAGGAGGAGAAGGAGAAAGAGGAGAAGAAGAAGGAGGAGGAGGAGGAGAAGTAGTATCGCGAATCAGATATGGGGGTGCGGTGCCTTTGTAGGAAGTTTGAAAACTCGACGAGTGGATTAATATCGCGGAGTTCTCGTTACTCGTTGTTGATTTTGTCTGTCTCCACCCAAGCCACCCCGACCCACCCCATTGCTAGAACCCTCCGTCACCACCCGTTTCTCTCTTGCAGCCGGAGAACGTTTCCAGCACTCTAACCAGGCCTCAGTCAGTCAGTCAGCCAGCCAAGCCAGCCAGCCAGCCAGCCAGCCAGCCAACCAACCAGCCACCACCTTCGACGTTGGCGTCCCCCAACCTCACAACCACCCACTCTACACCTATCCTATCCCCATCCCTTATACACATCCACATCCACATCCCTCATTCCTATTACCCATCCATCCCCATACTACCACCCCACCCAACCCTTACTCCTCGCGAGAAGCTCAAATGTGTCTAATGAACCGGCTTGTGTGCTTATATCTGCGGCTCCTCTAACCGCTTTATACGGGCATTAGTTCGCAGGATATACGCCAAGTAAATAATGTGGCGGAAATAAAAACACCAAGAGAGAGAGAGAGAGAGAGAGAGAAGAGAGAGAGAAAGAAGGAGGAAGATAGGGATGATAGAGAGAGAGAGAAAGAGAGAGATTTTACCGATTTTACTTCTATACTTTTTAATTTCTTCTTTCTTTTCTCCTTTTTCTATCAAACAAATCGATTATTGTAGAAGAGAGTTTGTTTCTTTTTTTTTTTTTTTTTTTCTTTTTTTAATCTAATCTTCGGTGATCATGAAGCAAGCTAAATATATTTCTACGAAATTGTCTTCGTTCGTGTAAAATTTTTTATAAAAATTTCTCGTTTCCGGCGTACCTTATGTTAGAAAAAGATAGATAGATAAAGAGAGAGAGAGAGAGAGAGAGAGAGAGAGAGAGAGAGAGAGAGAGAGACAGAGGTTCGACGTCTCTAAGCGCGTATCTCCTAGATGCGTGTATGCGTGAGCGGGTGTCTCTCTCTCTTCTCTCTCTCTCTCTCTCTCTCTCTCTCTTTCTCTCTTTTTCTCTCTCTCTTTCTCTCTTCTAGTGCGCTCGACGAACGACGAGGCGCCTACCGTCGGTATTACGTATTAAAAGTTGCAGCCGACGTGAATTTTTCACAAAGGAAAGTATTCTGCGTCGCTCTCGTATCTTCTATATTAAAATCTAATATGCGAGCAGGAAGCTGTAATATCTATTACAGAGTAATATCGCTCTCGAAAACCTTCCGTGAGTACTTTGTCACATTTACCGTTGATATCCGCGGCACGGTGTAGAAGGGTGGTTGACACGAAGGGGTATGTGGGAGTTAGAATGTGGGAGGAGGAAGTGGAAGAAGAGAAGAAGGGGGGATTGGTTGTCGGAAAGATGTATTAAAGGGAGCGACGATGCAACGAACCAAACGCTGCTGCCACAAACATAAATCGTAGAGAATGATGTGTGCTTTAATATGTGAATGGAAAAGACTGAACGAAAAAGATCGAAGAAATTGACGTTAGCGTTACAAAGTGTCATATTATTTTCTTTTTTTCTTCTTCTGCCCCCTTTTTTTCCTTCTGTTAAAAATTTATCGAAACGTATGACCTTACAAAATTTTTCCGAATTGCTTCGAACGAGCTATCCAGCGTCTCCCCCTCTCTCTCTCTCTCTCTCTCTCTATTTCGTTATCTTTCTATCTATCTTTCGTTTCCTCTGTTAAAAATTATAGAACGACGAGAGAGACGAGATAAAGAAAGTGGAAGAAGAAGGGCCCGTCGTAAAATACATATAAAACGATGGGTAGTAAGAGTGTTACCGTTGAAAGGAGAAGTAAGGGGGGAGGGGGAGAGAAACGGGACGAACGGGACGATAGGATTCTTGTGGCGAGCGATAAAAATTTATGCCATGGTATTCACCTCGCTCGGATAGTGAATTCAAACGGGCATGTAATTGGCAGTATCGTAAAAAAAAAAAAAAAAAAAAAAAGAAGAAAAAAAAAAGAATCAAGGAAAGGAAAGAGAAAGAAGGAAGAAGAAATGAAAAACGAGAGAGAGAGAGAGAGAGAGAGGAGTCAGGAAGAAAAATGGGGGAAAGAGAGTAGAGAGAGGGAGATAGAGAGAGAGGGTGGGGATGTTACAACGATATAAGAAAGAAAAAGAAGTAGAAGAAGAAGAAGAAGAAAACTTGTAGGATGATGAGCATCGCGTCGGAAGAGAAATAAAGAGAGAATGGAAGTGCAAGATGAGGAACGGGAGGGGGGATGTGCGGTGGGGTGGAGTGTGGTGTGGGGACCGAGAACTACCCGTTTCGTAAGAGACCTACCTCCATAATTTTTTATCCCTAAAAAAAAGGCCGCACGAGGCTCTTCGAAGAACGATATTGTTAATATGTAAAGGAGCTTCGGAAAAAAGGAAAGAAGATGAAGAAAAAAAAAATATATATATATATATATATATATAGGGTGACGTGAAATAAGGATAGAAGCCAAGGTACCGAGATATTCGTTCCGTTCGTTCGTTCGTTCGTTCGTTCGTTCGCAGGGGATGACGAAATTATCATTTCCTTTTTTTATGGTTTTTTTCTTTTCTCTCTCTCTCTCTCTCTCTCTCTCTCTCTCTCTCTTTTTCCTCCCCCTCGGGAAAGATTATCTTGTCGAGGGAATATTACGAGGCTGCTTATGGCACTTCGATCGAACATCAACACGAGAGTTTCTAACATTGGCTATCTTTCCTTCTTCTCTCTTTCTCTCTCTCCTCTTTTTTTTTTTTTTTTTTTTCTTTCTTTTCAATCAACGTAACGACATTCTTTACTTCATTACGATTTTTCTTATTTTTTTTTCTTTTTTTTTTTTCTTTTTTTTTTTATAAGTTCTCGTTTTAAAATGTAATGGAGTAACGAAGTAGAATCAATGTGACGTATAACGAATAATCGCGATCATAGTAATTGTTGTCGATCGTCGTCGTCGATCGTCGTCGATCGTCATTGTCGTTGTTTTCTCTACGAGAAGTGGTTGTAGGTGAATCGTTAAATCATTGGCAAAAGAGTGTCAATGACTTACGACTATCATTCATCGCTACCAATTGACCCGATATCGTACTCGCGCACTCTAAACGTCGGCATGTCCCCCTCCACCCCCACCCCACTCCTTTCTTTTATTTTTCTCGTAGCATAAACTCCGTCTACGTTCGTTCTCTTTCTTTGTCAATTGCGGCACGCGCCATCAATCCATCCATCCATCCATCCATCCATCCATCCATCCATCCATCCATCTATCCAACAATTCATTCATCCATCCATCCATCCATCTATTCATTCGCTTAAGTAAGTAAATAACTACTTACGCGTGATTCTTCTACTCTTTGGACTTTACTGATTTTGCGATTAAATTTTTTTTATCGTTTTAGAGAAATGAGAAGAGAAAGGAAAGGAGATAGATAGAGATAAATAAAGAGAGAGAGAGAGAGAGAGATTACGTCAGCGTCGAAATGGACACCAATTATTATCGACAGCGAGATACCGCGCTTCGATCATAAATCTTTTTGTATTTTTAGATCTCGAATTAGGTATTAGCAACGGAGGCGTCGCTGACCTCGGCTCCGACACGATGGCGGCGACACCATTATAGAAATGATTCTAATTGCGAACGATCGGCACTATATAATGGAATGCGAATCACGATTCTTCCTGTTAAACTAACCACGCTTCGTAGACGTCAAGAGAGGTCAGGGATGAGATAATCTCGTTTGAATTGAAGAATTTTTTTTATAAATGAGAAGAGATAAAAAAAAAAAAGAAAAAAAAAAAAGAAAATAAACAAACAAAAAGGGAAAAGATAAAAATGAAATTTTATTGGTTCATTAATTAATATCTTCGGTAACGATTCATTGATTAAATTTTTTTAAGCACACATAAACACTTGTGTGTAATGTGAAGAAAAAAAAAAAAAAAAAAGAAAGAAAAAATAGGGAAAGTTAGACGTTATATTACGAGAAGAGAAATCACGGAAGAAGGATATCGGTTTGTTAAAGCTTAGATAACAAATAATCTGTAAATCTCTAAGGGATCGAAAGTCAGTGCTGCAATAGTTCGCCGCCCGCTTCTCGGAGACTCCTTAAGATTCGTTCGCTCGTAAATTTCTCCTCCTCTGCCAAAGGGTTAATGCGTCTGACTGTACCCCAGGAGGAAATCTTGAAATGCAATATTCTACAATATTCACTGACGAGGGAACGAAGGTCGGAGAAGCTAAGGGGGTGGAAAAGACGGCGCAGGAGTCAGGGGAGGAACGCGAGAAGAGTAAGAGTAAGAGAGACAGGGAGAAAGAGAGAAAGAGAGAAAGAGAGAGAGAGAGAGAGAGAGAGAGAGAGAGAGAGTGAGTGAGTTAGACTTTTACCACGGCTCAATATTGGTACTCCGACAGCATCCTTCCTTCGCTCTTTTCGCTCTCAATCTCCCTCTTGCCTATCTCTCTCTTTCTCTCTCTCTCTCTCGTCTTTCCTCTATCCCTTCCCTTTCTATCTATCCGCCTCTCTCTCTTTCTCTCTTTCTCTTTTTATTCCACTAAAAGGAAGTTACTTGACAACTGTTATTTGCATTTCTATCCTATTGAAGAAAATATCTAATAAAGTTTCGCGAGAAACGCCATCTTGACGAGAAATACCCTTCCACTCTCCTCTCTCTCTCTCTCTCTCTCTCTCTCTCTCTCTCCTCTATCCATCTATTTTCGTTATTTCATCCTTCACTTCTCTCTCTCTCTCTCTCTCTCTTTCTCTCTCTTTCTCTTTCTCTGAACGTCTCTTTCCAACATCTTCTTTCCATTCGTTCGTCCATCAAAATTCTCTATCTACATGGAAATATCGAAGTTCCGTAACTGCGATGTAAAACTCCGAAATAAATTATATTTGACATTTGTTCGTTATAACATTTCAAAAAAAACATATTCCAATGTCACATCTTTTTCTATTTTATTTACTTTATAATATTTCGAATAATAATGTTATTTCTGATAATAATTATAATAGAAAATAATAATAATTATGAGGAAAAGGTATCGATTATTTTTTATGAATGAACAAATATATCGATACGATTTAATCTTCTTACGTTGTTCTCAATCGAGGGAAACTTACTGAAATTTACTTTGCTCGTCGTACTTTGTCCTTTGTTTACTCACAAAATTTCCCTCTGTGCTATCGAGAGAAAGAGAGAGAGAGAGAGAGAGAGAGAGAGAGAGAGAGAGAGAGAGAGAGAGAGATAGAGAAAGAGAAAAAGGAGTTTACAAAGATAGAAAGAATTGACTTCTCGAACGATGGTCTTACGTGCGGAAATCGACCTCCATCCTCCATTTTAATTAAAGCAATAAGAGCATCCCCCTTCTCCCACTCCTCTGTTTTCCCACGGGGAATGGAAAAGGACCCGGCGAAACGGATTCGTTACTATTTATTTCTAATTATCTTCGATTTCGAGAAGCCCGTAATACTGCAGGAAGAATACCCGGGAAAACGACAGGGTTGTAGGCACCCTTCCACCAACCCATCCTCTTTTTCTCTCTTTTTCTTTTTTTTCTCTCCCTTCCTCTCTCTCTCTCTCTCTCTCTCTCTCT